GCTAGAGCCCAGAAAAGGAGCAGGCCGCCTGGCCTTATACCCGCTTAGGTCTCTGCCCTGGGCCTCCGTTTCCCCACCAGGCCAAAGGATGCCAATGGCTTCCGCCCTGCGGGAGACACCTATAGCACTCACCATGCTTGCCGTCGGAGTCACCCAGGGAGCCCCGGCCGCTGGGGGCCTGCGTGGCCATCTTGATGGTGTTGCCTGCCTCCTTGCTGGGCCGGCTGGTGGTCAGCTGCTCAGGCGTCACAGCGTTGGGGTCTGGGGGCGGGGAGAGGACAGGTGAGCGGGGGAGCCCACGAGCATAGGTGCCTCAGTCATCTAGCACGAGCCAACAGTGACCTGTAAGTCAGACCCCAGACACTCTGACCCTCTTGCCCCTCCCCTACTCCCAAGCGCAGCCATACCCAGCCAGGGACATCTGTTGCAAAGGCTCAACTGGGGAGCCCCCACACCGGGCACTCACCTTGCCCAACCTTCATGACGATCTTCATGGTGCGTGTGCGGCACACGCCTCCCTCCCGGTTTTCCAGGCCCTCCAGGCTCCCATTGGATGTAGCTGTATAGCAAGAGGCCAGAGAAATCAGGGGGAGAGACAGGTCTGCCCACACTGCCTAGACATCCTAGTGCTGTCTCAGCCCGTAGGAACAGACCTGGGAGCTGGGGCGAGGGGGTGACAAGCAGCTCCCGCCTACCTGCGAACCTTTCCGCTCGGCTCCCTCGTGCTGGGAAGAGAGTAGCCGGCCGAGCCCAGCCCACGTCGGAAACTAGCGCTTCCCCCAAGGGGGCCGCTCCCTTATCATGACCGGGCCTTAGCCCTTCTTTCTCAGTGGACACTGAGGTATCTTCTCTCTGGGCGATGCTGCTCAGAGGCCAAACAATTAGAAGTGGAATCATGGGGGAGGCTCCTATACAGACTGGAAGGAAGCCAGTCAGGTAAACTGGGCTGCAGTCCCAGTGCTATTCCCGGCTCCCCGAGTGACATGGGGCTGGAAGTTCCTTCACCTCTTGGGGCCAGTTTCCCACAAAGAGAAAGGCCCAACAGCCAGCTGAGGCCAAAGGGTTCTGCCAACTCTGCCATTCCCGAGATTAGACCCGAGGTAGGCCAAGAAAATGAGAGAGGGCGCCGCGAATTGGAGTCTCCTCCCACCCAACTCCTAGAGCCAAGGTGAGCGGGCAGCCAGCCCCTTGGCGAACGTTAGGGCCAGAAATCCCAGGCCAGGCTGGAAGGAGAGCATGCCAGTCTTCAGAGGGGACCGGATCAGGACAGGCCGTGTGCGGTGTCAGCGTACTACTTAGAAGCTCCTGCTGCTACCAGATAAGAGAGAGCCCTACGATGGGAAGGGACTCACAGGTAATGTAGTAATCATGGTGCTTCTTAAACTCCAGGCCCATGTAGTTGGGGCTGAACTCCTGGAACTTAATGGTGAAGCGGATCTCGTGCTCCGGCCGATTGCAGGTGACCAGCACGTTGGGGTCCAGCACAGTGCTGCAAGCGGCCGCCTGCTCAGGCCGCACCAGGTATAGCTTGTAGTACTCGTAGGGCCGCCCTGCTTCCGCTCGGGGGCAGATGATGTCCAGCTTGTCACCGATCTTCGGGTAGATCACCAGGCCCTTCCCACGCAGGAACCTGCCCAGGATGGAAGACACGGTCAGCCTCGGGGGCGGGCGTCCCGGGCCATCCCCCGGATCAGGGGCGCACACGATGAGGGCCACAGGCTGAGCCTACTGGGGGCAGATGGCAAGGACAGGCATTCTGTCCTTCCTCCATCCTCAGGCTGGCGCTGAGGAGAGCCGATCACACTGCCAGCAGGGCGTGGAAGGGGTGGCCCATGGGCAACGCTGCCAGGCTTTGACTGCTCGGCAGGGTGGGGCACTGCCTAGCTGGGGGAGCCCGTTGTCCTAATGTGGCATTTCCGCAGGCGGGCTGACGTGGCCAATGGTGTCAGGCTTGGGCTGCCTGGAGGTGGCAGCCCTGTTCTCCTCCCACCCCCATCACACTCACGTTCCTTCAGAGCCACTGCTGCCATCTCCCCAGCACACATGCGTGTGTGTGTGTGCACACATGCACCCAAATACATGGTGCGCGTGCACACACACACACACACCAAGCCCACACATGCCTTAGCCACCACCCCTGTGGCTCCCAGGCTACAACTGGGGGAGCTCAACCTGTCTGGGACCCAAGCCTTCTCTCCCATCCTTGCTAATCTTGGGCAGGATGGGGAGATAGGAATAGGCATCGCCTGGAACCAAGGGGTAATGGACACAGTCTCTGGCCAGCTGCGACTCCACACGGCTCTCCCCACTCCCCGCACCCACAGCACAGTGTCTTAGAGGGGGGACCCATCCAACCCCCATAACGTGAGAACCTGAGTCCCTAAACTTGACCAGTCTCAGTCCTAAAAAGAGCAGAGGGAGGGGAGAAGGGGCCCAAACACGGACAACAGATCATGTAAGACAGGGCCCCAGGAACCTCACACATCTGTGTTCTAATCCTCCCACCTCCACATCTGCCTCTGTTCCAGATCCTGAGGGAGACGGGCAAATGCCTTCTGAGCCAGGTTCATCTTCTAATCTTGAAGGCCAGACACAGGGAATAGCAGAGGGAGGGCAGCTGCCCAAGCCCATCTATTCATATCACTCTGTCCTTACCTAGGCACACAGTAAAACAGTGCTGCTATCTTGGCCATTTCTGAGCCTGCGCAGGCTGGAGCCAGGAGCAAGGCAATAGCACGGAGGAAGGAGAAAGCAGACAGACTTTGGAACCAGACAGACACGGCCCTTCCTAGCTCCGCGACCTTGGATGAGCTGCCTGATCTCCCTGAGTCTCAGTTTCCTCACTTACAAACAGGCAGTGGTAAGAGCCCTGCGCCCCCGGGATTGGGGACGGGGTGCAATGGCGCATGCAGAGTGCCTAGCGCGCAGTAGGCACTCCCCATGTTTGACTCTCGCTTAGAAACAGTCTAGTCTGCCAAAGAGGCAAGACACTAACAGCAAGTACCTACGAGGCCAGTCTTGGGGGGTTTTGGCGGGGGTGGGGGGGTGGCTGGCTAGGAAGAGAAGCTATGGCCCCATCCTCGAGGATTTTACTGTCTGCTGTGGGTCAGAAAAGTAAAAATGGTCCGTGCTTTAGCAACAGACAGTACCAGGCTATCTGTAGGTTATGTGGGAGGACGGTGGTTCAAGCCGCAAGGGCTGGAGGCCGTGAGAGGAAGGAGAGAATTCATCTGACAGGAGATGGTTCCTCAGAAGGAGCAGAATGAAAGTGAGTCCCGGGGGGCGGCGGATAAGAAGTTAACACAGAGCAGGAGTGGACAGGAGTGGCTGGAACACAAACCCCAGGCCAGTGACTGGCCCCAAAACTGGTAGAGAGAAGCAGAAGAAGAGGTGGAAAAGCTCAGCTGGGGCCAGACCGAAAGGCCTCAACAAGCAGGGTGGCTTTCGTCCCACTGGGGACAGACCTTCTAGCAAGGACAACGAAGGGTTGAAAGCAGTGCTTCAGGAGAACAGAGCTGACAGCAGAAGAGCATGGCTCCACTTCCCGGGGGCCCGTTGCGCACTGGGGACCACAAGGTACAAGGGCCTACCGGGAGCTCAGGGCCCTCACTCAAGGGAGGCAAATGATACCCCAGGAGGTGAGTCTAGACCAAGTAGATGAAGAAAGGCAGCCCTCCCTCCATGTTAAATGAGGCTTCAACAAGCTGAGACCTGCCATCTTGCTGTACAGGAGGGCAAAAACCACAAGAGGGTCTTTCCCTTAGTACCTAGCTTTACTGCACTCCAGAGGGCCATGGGATGAAGGTCCCTACAAACATGTGAGAGCGATTCCATGCCCGTGCCCCCCATGATTCCCAAGGCAGTTTTCACTTCCCCAGCCTCACACTGGGTCCACCCAGACAGCAGGATTAGATGACTTGTAACTTCTTAGAGCCAGAGGAACCTTCGAGACCCACTGAGTCCAGGCCCCTCATGTGAGGGAGGGAGGGATCAGAGGAACATTTCCTATGGAAGAGAGGTGCTCAAAGCCAACTGGAGGAGGCTACCCTCACCCAGGACGTTAACCCCTAGGGGTCTAAGAAGCCTTGGCTGAATCCTTGCACAGCTGCACTTCAACGAGACCCTCCCTGGAGGGGACGGCAGGGTACACAGAGGGCATGCGAAGGGGCACAGGCCAGCTCACCCCTTGAACCACTCGGCCCGGGCTTCCTCACCGGGGAGGCTTGGCTGTTCTGAGCACATCTACGGCCGCTCAGGCTCTGGAGCTCCGGAACTGAAACACAGGGCTTCCAGCTACTGGGGGCTCTACCTTGAATCCAGAGACATCCAGAAAACATATGTCTACACAGTGGATGGAGGAGGGGGAAGAAAAGAGGACTATTGCCCCTAACACCCCTCAGCCTCTCTTCAACCTCGGCGATGACTTCATAAATATTCATCAGCTCATTTGCATAGCAGCTGGCAGAGGGAAACTCACCTTCCCCTAAAGTGCAGAAGGGAGAGGAGCCTGATGAGACCTGCCTCCCCTGACCCTGCTCCCCCATAATGGTGCCTCCTCAGCATCTTCTCCAACATCAGGAGAACTGCTTCTTGGCCTATGAGAAGCCCAGGAAAGTGGCAAGGGGACAGAAGGGGCAGGTGTGTAGCCAGTGAGAGCGAAGCCTGAAGCCAGGTACAACACTGGTCATACCATACAGGGGGGACCCTGCAGGTCTTCCCTCATACACGTCAGGTTAGGAGTAGGGGCAAGAGAGGAGGAGGAAGAGATTGTCCCCAAGTTAAACTCTTTATCCCCCACTTTTCAAAAACTACCACTCCCCCATTATGAAGCCAAGCTTTCTTGCCTGGGGCCACCCCCAGACAAAGCCCTTTTCTGGAAAATAAGGGGATTGACAAGGCCCAGCAGGAAGCCTGAAGCAGGTCGCCATGGTAACCCCTGAGGCCTTCCCTCCTTAGCCTCTGATAGCCCCAGGACCCCAGTGAGCCACCCCAGGGAGTAAAGGGACTTGCGGCAGCCGCAGCCGCAGCAGCCGCAGCCGCAGCAGCCGCAGCCGGAGCCGGAGCATTCCAGCTCCTTCTTATGGTCTGCCTCTTCCCTTCCACCCTAGCCCAAGTCTCTCCCTCAGCCTTTCTACTGAGTCGAGAAGTGCCACCATGACTGCTAGTAAGAATCCCGGGACACAAGAAGCCTGAAGGGTCTGGGGCAGTAGCCCAGTCAGAGGCCAACTGCCCGCCTGCTTCTGGCGTCCAGCTAAGCCCCTCTCCGCCCAAACACCTACAATCTGCAGGGGGGCCAGCTTGCAGCTGTAGGGGTCATGCCCAGAAAGGTGCCCACACTTGCTTCCCTCTCGCCCTTCCCACAGGCTCTGGGAACCTGTGGTCAGAGAGCGGCTGAAGGGACAGCCCGGTCCCAGGCCGTGCCGGGCCAAGCTTGGCAGAAGACTCCAGCCGTGGCCTTGACTCGGGGACCCTGGCGGCACTGCGCCTGCACCCACGGAGTGGCAGGACGAGTGGAGGACAGACCCCAAGCCAGAGCTCAAGTCTGCTCTCATCCCAGCAAGGGTGGGGAGCCCCCAAATTAAAGGCTCCTCTTTCATTCGCCCAGCTCCACCCAGCCCCCGAGGCGGCAGGAGCAGGCCTGGCGTGTCCCAGCAGTGCCCGCCCAGGCGTGGGTGGGCAGGAACAGCAGCTGGGTCCTGGCACACACACACACACACACACACACACAGCACTGTCGGAGACAGGGAAGCCAGGAGAGTCCCAGAGGAAGTCACCCTCCCCACCTACACTGAACTCTGCCCTCCCCTCTGCCCCACCAGGCTCATACTTGGGTCCACTGGGGGGCCTAACACCCCTTTTCTTGTTGTCTGCTTTCTGTGGGATCCCTGAGAGGAAGTGAGGTTCCTGGCCTAGAGAGGAACCAAAGGTGCTGTTCAGAGCTCGGGAGGGAGAGTGCCAGGCAGTGAGCTGACTACCTCTAGCTCTGGTCACCCAAGCAGGCAGACCTAGCAAAATCGAACAAGGAAGCCAGGGCACTGCTCATCCCACACAGGCAGGGCCTGAGTCACAAGGACAGATGCGCACACACCTGTGAGGTAAGAGGGGAACCCAGGGGCAGGGAGCCGGCACCTTTTTCCAAACCCCACCTTGAATTCCTCTCTCTCCTAGATTCCAAGGTAGCAGGATGGCATGGAAAGAATGGCACACAGCAAGCTCTACCCCCTGTGAGCTGAGTCTAGACAAGTCACTTCCCTCTTCCAGGCACAGGCCTTCTCATCTGGAAATGGGGGCAATTCCTACTCCCTGGGGCTGTTGGGAACCAGCAATGAACTTACAGATGAGGATGCTTTGTAAGTAGCAAGGTGCCGCCTGATTGTTAAGGTAGCCTGCCAAACACAGTACCATTTAGAAGTAAGACGCTTCAGGAGCTTCCACGCCTGGCTGCAGGCATCCCCACGCCCCGAAATGACCACTACGAGAACACACACAGGAGGGGCCGCTATGGCGCCCAGGGCCAGGAGCCCAGGATGTGGCTGGTGAGCATCCCCCCACCTCAGCTCCCCTAATAATCACAGAGTGGACCCTCCCCCAAACCCGGTGTTCTCTTGGCAACAAGCAGCCTCCCTGCTGGCCCACCCCTCCCACACTCCCAACCCCAGAAAACAGTGGTATCCAGGGCCTGCCCATCCCCATCCACCTGAGCTGATGAGGCAGTGGAGAACCTGAGGGGAAACAGGGAACCCTTCAGTTAGCCCCCACCCCAGCCTCACAGGCCCTTCTTGCCCCGGGGCCCCGGCTGCCTGGGGTGGGGGTGGGGAGGGAGGGGAATGGGAAACTTTAGGAGCCCCTGGGTTCCCATCACTCTCAAGCCCCCACCTGTGGCCAATCAGCCACAGAGTAGAAGAGGTCAGGTCCCTAGCCGCCCCGGAAAGGGGCCCCCTGAGCTGGCCTCCCCAGGACTGTGAGCTGGAACAGCTGTGAGGGGGCTGGGACCAACGTTTCGGCTTGTAGCGGGCAAGCCTGGGTTGGGGTCTGCAGCTGCCCCCACCCATGCTGGATGGAGTCAAGGGTCCTGGACACCAAGCCGAACCCCCCACCCCCACCCCCTTATAGGGAAGGTGTAATGTGATCTCAGGCACATTCCCACTCCCTGGAGGTGGGGGAACCTGAGTGGGGGGCAGGAAGGGGTCAGAATGGGACTGAGAGACTGAACTGCAGCAGCTGGACTTGGCTGAGGACTCAAGTGTGAGGCCTGCCGGCTGCCCCAAGCTCTCTGGGGAGGAGGCTGGGGGAGGGGGCCGCTCTGGGACCTTCCATCACAGCCCCCAACCCACCCAAGCACATGCATACACTCTGGTTGCTCCCAACCTGGAGTGGGACTGAACCTGCTTCCCCACCCCGTGCTCATCAGGCAAATCTGACGAGAGGGGCGAAGGAGAGGCAGAAGCTCTCGCCACCCAGGGACTTCCACGCTGAAAGACCCCCTGCACCAATTCGGGAAAGAGCCTGGAAGTCTTTAAGTTGGCCCTTCCTGCTCTCCTCTTCCAGTCAGGGCTAGGGCTGCACGCACCCTGGAACCTGGAAACATACCCCCAGCCCCACCACTTCTTTATTTTGATTTTTTTTTCCCCCAAGAAGGAAGCAATTAAGCAAGGTTTATGGGCACTGGGAGATTTGACCGGGGCGGGGGGGGGGTGCCGGTTCCTGACAAGGTTGAGGAAAGACACCAAAAGCAGGGAGGAAGAGGGGAGGGAAGAGAAAATGAGCCTGTGAGGGAGAGCACGGGCATGTGCGAGAAACAAAAGGACTTGAGAAAAAGAGGCAGAGAGTGACTAAGAGTGAGAGGGAGTGTGAGAAAGAGGGAGAGCAGGCGAGCCTAGCTGGAGAGGGGAGGTGAGCGCAGCTCACAGAGGGTGTGAGAGGGCGAACCGACACAGACCTGAGAGGGAGAACTCGGGCAGGAGGCAGAGAGGGAGAGACAGACCAAGAGACACTGTTTATTTGAAAGGCTGGGGCAGCCTGAGGGTTGGGCGCGGTGGTAGAGGCAGCCCCCAGAGCTCTAGCGGAGCTGAGGGCAGGGCCTCCCTCCTGTCCTCCTGCCCACCCCCCATGCACCAACACACACAGACCCTTGGGCGGGGATGGAACTGGGGTGGGGGGTGGTGTGCAGGGGCACCAGGATCAGTCCCCCACCACTCTCAGGATCTGCTCAATTACAGGGCAGAATTCGTGCGGGTGCTACTGAGTCCTGCTGAGTCCTCCCCCGCCCCCCCGTGCCGGATGCCTGCCCCCTCAGCCTGAAGTGGATGGTGGGGTGGGTAGAACTCAAAAACCTGTAAACTGGTCCAGAGCACTAAAGGCTCAAAACACAAAAAGGGAGAAGCTCAGAGAGATCTTGTTTCTCCCAGCCCCCCCCCCCAACTCTGCAGGAGGGCTCCTTTCCAGCTGTGGAGCTGCCTGCTATCTCTGGTTAGAGACCCGAGAGAGCAATTAGGTCACTCCCATGAGCCCCTATAATGGGCTACCCCAGGCGGATTTCAGCTATCCTGGCTCAAGAGAGAGCATTTCCAGCCTCCACCTCCCCTGTAAGCAGGGGGTGGAGGGGAGGAACTGGGCTCTTCACAACCTTTCCCCTTGAGCTAAGCAGCTCAGGGCCCCCAGACTATCTTGACTCCCCGCTGTTAGGAGAGCGCTGCACCCAGTTTAGCTTCTGGGTGGGGGAGAAATTCTCGTCAATCCCTTTCCTTGTACCTTGTTCCCTTTCCGGAACCCTCTACACTGACCTTGTTTTAGGCCATCCCACAAACCAGTAAATAAGACCCTACCTTAACCCAAGGAGAACAGAACTAGAGAAGGTGCCTTCTCCCCACTCCAGGGCTGAGAGATGCACTGTCCCTGGAACCTAAGAGGCCAAGGCAGGCAGGAGCCCGGGAAGTTAGCCGGGGAGCCCAGGAGAGTGGAGAGAAAGAGATTCCAGATACAAAAAATCAGAGAGCACAGAGGGCAGGCCAAAGCCCCCCAGTTTCCCACTAAGTAGGGGTATCCGCATCCAGGACCTCCACAAAACAGGAAGAGCAATCTTGACCCTGGATTCCAACCCCAGTCCCGAATGCCAAAAGAGTAAAAGGTCCAGAGGTCACTACACAGCCCCAGCGACTCTTCACTAACAGCCTCCCAGAAACCACTGAGCCACCGCCCTAAAAGGTGTGCGTGTTGTTTGGGGGTGGGGGGGGATTGTGAAGGGAAAGGAGGAGGAAGAAAAGAAAGGATCTCCTCTATGTAGCTACATCCCCAACCCCTTGGGAAAAGCAAAGCATAGATAGCTCCCCAATCTGAGGGACAGAGGGTGGGGGGGGGGGCACTGGGACCTGCCTGGGCAGGAATCCTTCGACCCCAACCCACCTCCCTCGCCAGCTCGGACGCCACTCTCTGCCTGGGCTGACCCTCGAAGCTCTGCCGCCGGCTCCATTGGACCCCCGACGGGCGCCGGATCGAACCCCCCCTTCGCCAACAAATCCCTCTCCCACTCCGCCCCTCTCCACCGGCCGCCTTTGTGAGCCTGGGAGCGGCGCCCGCCCTTCCACGGCCCCCGCAGGGAGAAAAGAGGGGCCAGAAGAGACGGCAAAGCGAAAAGCTGGGGAGGCAAAGAGGGAAGAAAGAGAAATGGAAATAGGAGAAGCCCGAATGGGGATACAGGCGCTGCCCCCCGCCCGAAGCGCGGAGTCCCGAGCCGTGGTCCCTTCCCAGCTGAACAAACGAGAAACCTGTGTTCCGGCCTCGTCCCCCGCCCAGGTCAAGCTCGCCCCTCGAGCGGCTCTCGGAGAAAATCGCCACGTTCCCAGGGGCCCCACAGGGGAATGCGTTCTCTCCCCCACCCAGCTCTCGGGTGCGCCCTCGAGCGCCCGGACTCCCAGCTCCGCCAGGCGCGACCATCCCGACTTGAACCGGGACGTGAGGAGGAGAGGGCGGGGAAGCCAAGGGGTCACAACCCAGCCGAGTGCCCCCCACCCCACCCCGCCGCACCCTGCCCCGCCCGCCCGCAGGAAAACACACTCGAAAACGCCCGAGACAAAATGGGGCGCCGCTCCTCCCCGCACGCACTCGGGGGCGCGTGGCCTCACCCTGCAGGAGTGCCTCCCACCCCCAGGGACCAGAGCCAATAAGTTACTCACTTGGGGTTGAGGGAGCTCCAGGACACGGGCTCCAGGTTCTTGGCCAGCGGCGTGGCGAGCCGGCACAGTGCCAATACGACCATCGCCACAAGCCACTTGCCGAGCCAACGCTGCCCAGGCCGGGCCATCTTCCCGGGAGCAGGCTGCACTTGGGATCCCCTGGCGCCTCCTCAGCAAACTGGCCTCGCCTTCCCGTGCTGCGCTGCGCTCTGAACCGCTCAGGCGCCCATCCTCCGCAGTCGCCGGCCTTGAAGTGCTCCCCTCCCGCCGGCTTCGGTGTCGCTCTTCTCCGCCCGGCGGGCCAGGAGGACTCACTGGGCAGCCGTCCCCAACCCGGGCATGGGCCGCGGCCTCCGAGGACTCGCTCCCCTGGTCTCTCCGCCGCACGAGGCGCGACGGGGGCTCTGCGCCCCCGGGTGATCCGGCCCGATTCCGCTTGGCTCCCCGAGACTGTTCTGGACTGCGCGCCCTCTCCCTGACTGGGTCTCCCCACTGAGGACTCGGCGGCCGCCCCGACGCCTCGGCCGTCCCGGGATCGACGCCCCTCGGAAGAAGTGGGAGTCTCCCCCCAACGCGAGCTCAGTCCGGGGGCTCCCGGCTGGGTCGCCCTGGCACGGTCTCCGTTCCTCCAGGCCACACTGGGACTCTGGGCTGCGCGCCCCCCGACAGCTTCTACTTCAGCGGGGGCCCCGTTCAGTGTACTCAGAAGAGCGGGAAGACGCTGCCGAGCGAGCTAGTCCCATCAGTTTGCGCTTCTGGAGCCTCGGCCCGGTAGCCCCGCAGCCCCGTCGCCGAGTCCTAGCTCCCCCGCGATTGCGCCCGAAGGTCTGCGGCCAGTGCGAGCCTCGCACACCTCCCACTGCTGTCCAGCGCGCATAGACTCCCTCCGCCGCCGCTGAGCTGTCTACTCCCCTGCTCAGGCGAACGCAAGGCCAACCCTACTCCTCTTAGCCAATAGTAAGCTCCGTCTCGGGGTCCTTGTCCCGTGCCACGCCCCCAGAACAGGAAGGGGGCGGGGCTTCTGGGAGCTCTTAAGGACGCCGTGCTCGCGATGGCACCAATCTGAGAGTGCGGCTCGTGCGGTTAGGGGTGGGTCCGGTTTAGTCCCGTTCCCAGAGCGCTCAGCCCGTGGGAAGTTGGCGCTCCTCTAGGTCTGTCGGCCTGCTCTCCTCCCGCGCGCCTAGTCAACACTCTGGCCCACTGACCGGGGCCAGACAGGCCCTGTCACAAGTACCCCGGGAAAGTACTTCCATTCTCTTTACACAGGAGCCCCGAAGTCCTGCTCTGTGGCAAAAGTAGCCGCTTTGCTCCCCGTCCCATCTCACGTAGGGCTCTGGTGGGCCTTCCTCCTTCTTACCTCGCAGCGCAGTGTCTGCTTGCACATGGACCTGGAGTCCTAAACATACGGTTAGCGGTAGGTGATGGAGACTCAGAGAGGTCAAGTACGGGATGGAGGTGGATGGGAGGTGCGTTCTTTGCCCCTGGGGACCAGGCCTTCGGATTCTCAGCTTCGGGGGAGAGCCTTGTGGGACCCGGGAGCCCAAACTTAGAGTCTTGTCCTGTCTGAAGGGGCAGGCAAGGCCCCAGAATAGGCCAGCGGGAATGAGAGGGCACCTCGATAAAGAAACACACCTCGAGGGCAAAGAGGAAAAGGCGCAGGCAGACGCCTTTTGAAAAAGCAAAAGCGGGCGTTCTGGCCCCAAGACGCCAGACTCTAGCCCCTCCCGGCCTCGCCATCTGGGTCTTTGTCTCCCAGCCCGGGCCCATTCTCCCCGCCCCTCCTCGCTTCCTTGCTTATAACTTTGGCTCCATCCCATAGCTCAGACCCTCCCGGTCCGGCCCGCTCTCCTGGTCGGACCCCAACAGGCATACCCACGTGCTAATGTCTCCCCCTACTGGTCTTCCGTAGCACTGCGGGAGCCCCGGACAAACTGGAAGCTCCCACCCAGGAGCCTGGCCCACAGAAACCTAGCGCTTGACTTGAACACGAGACTTGGGACTGGCGTGGTGGCCTTGGCAAGAACCGCGGCCCAGTATGGGGGTGGGGGTAAGGGAAAGCACTAGGAGGAAGATCTGGGTTTGGGGTTGGCTTTGGGATATAGTCTCGCCGCGTCTTGATGGAGACAATTAGGTGAGCAGCATTCCCAAAGGGCTCTACCATTTGCACAGGTCCGTGCCCTTATCGCACTCAAGTAGGAGTTTCTCACTATGATGATCTCTTTGGCTGTAGAGTGGACCTGGATTTGGGGGGCGGAATAAGAAAGGAGAAGCTAGGCCCCTCCTCCTTTTAGGGACAGGGCCTGGAGGGTGAGAGGGATCTGGGTGGACAGGGACCAGGAGGAGCTATGTCCGGTCTCTCAGCCAACAGCTGGACCCCTTATTGGGGTGTGAACAAGGAGAGATGAGAACAAGGGCACACCAATAGTCCAGCTTGGGGACTAGGATCCCTTGAAGTGTGTGCATGGCACCTGAGTATGGAAAGAAGCCTGCTGCTTACTGAGTGCCGAGTCCGTGCCAAGAACCGAGTTAGATGGGTTTCCTCTCAGAGTCCCTTGAGCTAAGTTCCACTCCCCCCATTTCACATAAGAGGGAAGATAAGGCTCAGGGAAGAGGAGTCGCTCTGCTGAGGTCACTGGGCTAATCGGTGGTAGAAGCAGGACGTTCCCCCAGGCTTATCTGTCGCCAAACACTATACCAATTGCAAAGCCCGTACCATACCAACTTGCCACATGTTCAGCCCCTTCTCGCCTACTTGCTTACTTAATTCGTTCCTGGCCAAAAGCTGGCTCAAGCTTGGAAGGCAGCAGCCGTCCGGATAGCCAGGACTTTACTCTTCATTCACAGGTTACTAGGCCTGGGAAAGTTCGGCCACATCTCGACGTTCCCACCTAAAATCACCACCAACCCCAGAACCAGCCTCAGATTCTGCTGCCAACATGCCCCCAGGGCCCTTTGGGAGGCAAGCCCAAGACCAGGTGGGGGATGGGGGAGATGAGGCTATGGTGCCAGACTTGGGAACCCTGAGCGACTCCTGAGTGTGCGTTGGCACACCCTAATTCTGGGTGGGGAGGGCAGCAGAGGAAAGAGGAGAAGACTCCTTATGTCGAGGCCCGCTTTACATGATGGGCACCCTGGTCACAGCACAACCTTTCTGCCTCAACCTGCCCACTCCAGCCCTAGGGGCCTCAGTAGCAGGACCGGGCCCACTCTCGGCCGCAGCCAGGGCCAGTGACTCCAGGCCCCCACCGCCTGTGCCACCCTAGAGGGGCCTCAGATGTAACGATTCAGGCCCCTGGGGTAGGGAGAAATTACTCCCCAGGGGAGCCTGAGAAGAAGTTGGGATCTGTGCGGCAGGTGGGCCCTCTCTTATCCAAGCCCTCCCTACTCCAGTAGCAGTCACACCCTCCCCAAGCCTCCCAGATCAGCGTCATCTCACACACACACACACACACACACACACACACACACACACACACACACCTGTCAGGGTTCAAGTCCACCAGAGTTTCCTGAGCACTGATGCTGTGCTAACCTCTGAGCTGGGCCTATCCTGGTGACCCAAACAAGAGCCCCGCCAAGCCCTGCCTTTGAGGAGCTCCAAGCACACCGAAGTCAGCATGTGGGGACCTCCCAGGCCAGGGATAATGCAGCCCCCAGAGAACTACAGAGAAGTTCCTTCTGAGCTCAGCTTCCCACACCCATGGGAGGCAGGGAGATAGAAACTTCCGAGTCCCAGACTTCACCGCTTATCAGCTCTGTCTCCTCGGGCAAGCTACTTTGCCTCTGGGTGTGCATCTATAATCTGGAGATCATCCCTCCTTCCCAGAGCTGTGGTGAGGGGTGAATGAGATAATGTACAACAGGGCCTTTAGCATTATGCCTGGCCCACCATGGTGCTCACTATACAGAACCTCATTCTTCCAGAGACACCCTCATTCCTAGTCATACAGGTTCTCGCTTTTGCCTGTTCACACGTTTCGTGTGCACATGCACAGTTTTTAGCCCCTCTTGTATTTTCACATACAGGTGCATAGTCACACAAGAACACTTGGTGTCTCTCACCTATCGATTCATGCAGCCCCACGTGGCAGGCTTGGTTCCCACTCCTGTGGAACCTAGAGTCTAGCCTCCACATTTTTCTCTTGTCACTGTTACATACACATGCACGAACACACACATATGCACACACAATTTCTGTGGCCCTTGTCCTCGACCTGTCCTTACCTGCCTTGAACTCTGAGACAAGAGAGGTGAATTAGTTTACCTAAGGCCACACAGCCAGGAAGTAGAAAAGTCACGATCTTAACCTAGGCTACTGAGCTACACAACTTGTGTTGTAACCGATGACTCTCATGAGTCTACACTGATATCCCAAGGCTCTGGAAAGGAGTGTGTGCCAAGGGGTGAGCCTTGCATACCAAAGGGTCAGAGCACAGGAAGCCTACCCCGGGGCCCAGGGCAATGTAAGCTGGGAGAGCCCAGTGAGGCTAGCAACCCTCTATTGTACCTACAGTCATCCCCAGCCTGCCCTAGGTCTCCTGTCTGTGTCCTCAAAGGCGCACACAGCCATTCCCTACAGGGAGAGGGAGAGCTTCGTTTCTTGAACATCCACTGTATGCCGGGCACTTACCTGGGTACTTTCACTTTGGCTGCTGCGTTATCTGAGTTTAATTCTCGCAACATCCCGGAGGTAGACATTGATAGGCCTACTCTAGAGATGAGAAAAACTGAGGCCCCAGACTCAAACAGTCTGCATCCCCTGCCCCCAACCTCCGCTTGTGAGGCCCTCTCGTGCCGGCTGGCTCATTCCGGCTGTCCATTTCTCTCCTGTTTTCCCCTCTGCCCTCAGGGCCCTCCTAGCTGAGATTTGCTGGGGTCTATGTTGGGCCCAGGCTGTCCTCCCTCCCCCACAAATACCTGGTTTTTCCCAAATCACTCTCTCTCTCTGGGTTAGTCTCAGGGCAAACCCAGGGTGGGGCCGGAGCCCTCCCGTTCTTCCTCCTCCCCTTTCCTGGATGCACCGCACCCCAGCACTAGGTCAGATGGAGCTCCAGGGAGGTAAACCTTGCAAGTCTAGTTCCACTGCAGCCATGACAATTTTCAGTGGCTGGTGAAGGAGGGGTTGGTCCCAAACGCCCAAGGTTCAACCAGACTCTCAACCCCCAGTCCCTGCCCCAGCTTCACGCCTGGTTTACAGGTGTTTGTGGTGAGATCACCTTGATCTTCCAGGTGTCAGCCTGGCCCCTGCTCAAGCTGTCGGCAGGATACTGGGGATAGGAGGAGCCCGTCTTCTTGAGATGGTCCTGCCCCCTCCCTCTCTCTTAATCCCCTCCTTATTCCACTTTACCCTACCCTGGACTTCTAGAAGTCTGTCCCAAACCCTCAGGCCCCATACAGGCAAATGACCTGCCCCCGTCCCTGAAAAGAGCCTGGAACAGGACATCTGAAAGACAGAGTACGGCTCGGTGTGGCAGACTAGGTGGTACAAGGCTCTGAACTGCAGCTGGAACCTTGGGTTCCTTAGAAGCCTCATCTTTGGACATCCCTGCCCTCCTGTCCCCTCTAGCAGTCCCTCCTGTCTTGCGCTCTCTAGCCCAGCAGGGGGCAGTCTTGGTGGGGGGGGGGAAGTCCCACAGCACTCTGGCCCAGCCCTCCTGTTGTTCTCTCACTCCCCCATGACTTGGAGAGTATGCAAAGCAGGACTGGGCCATTCATCACGGTCAAGGTCTCAGGAATTTGGGGAAGCGGAAGTGGTAGCTGTCCCCACCTGTCACTGGCCCCAGCCTAGCTCCCCATCTCAGAAGGCCAGTAGGCCTGGGGGAGGATGATGCTGGCTAGAGAAATAACATCTTTGTCCAGTCCTGCTCCTTAGAGAACACACTGGACATGTCAGGCCCCA